AAAATGGTCATTTGTCGTTTTGGGCGAATCTTTGGTCCGTACTAATAACAGCAACTACTAGCTGAAACAAACAAGAAGAAAGAAACTCAAAAACGACTTGAGAAAAATGAGAAAGGTGTCTCGCAACAGGTATTAATTACGGCTGTCTCACACCAGCCCGTGTTTATAAGCGTCTCTGATGTACTAGATGCGTCATTCTTCATGAGGATCGAATTTTGCGGCCGGACTCCGGATGCCCAGCCCAACGTCGAGGTATATACTATATCACGACTCTTCGCCTCACACACCAATCATTCGTATTATGTTTATAAGGAAAACCCCATGAATTATCCACGTATAGGTTCATACACAGCTACGGTTGCGTCGGTGTAGTCCATCAGGCGAATATGTTCTTTTTGAGGAGTTGACGAGTTCCACGACATATTGCATCCTCTGGTCCCAGGAAATGTGTAAAACGCCCAAGTTCTCGAGTATCTCGACGCCGATGTCAAGGTTACTGTGGAAGAAAACCTCAACGCAGAAAAGTTATTCTGTTACTTCCAACAGAACTCACATTATAAGAGCCTACATAGTTGACGAAAGATCGAGTTTATGGAGGCTCGGCCAGTTATGACGCTGCGACGACAAGTAACACCACCTAGACCACCAAGACAACATGGAAGTATTTATTCTCCTGGTAGCACCTTGGTAGTCATGGCTAGACTTTCTAACCCTTGGGTCAATGGTGAGGTTATTTGCTAGACTCAGAGGGGAAAACAAGTTCTGTCCGGTGTAGGGTAATTTCTACTACTGATGCCAAGTACGGAGTACGTCCGCAGCTATTGCAACAAAGCATTGACTATTCCAGAACGGAGTGGACGAGAGAGCCTGGCTATAGATAGCGCATCATATCGCAACATTGAACAATGCTCCTTATCGCATTCGGCGAATCGCGTCAGCAACACGCCATGGTTGCATTGTCAACCTTATTCGAGCACCAATACTCGGTGCAATTGTCGGTGAAGATGGCTTGTGGTCGCTCGGCAATGCAAAAAGAGCTGTGGAAGAGGTTACTAGCTCCCGCGGATGGTTCCTGGCTGCATATTTTTGGATGGGGCCTTGGCTTCGATTGGAACGGGGAGAAATTAAGCGCATTGAGCAGTCAAGCTGATCCGAAGCTTGAGAGGCATGCAAGGCCATGCTCCTTGCTGGATTACTAGCTGAATCCAATCCCCTTTAGCTCTCTTGACGAGAACGGAACAATGTGGTCTCGCTTGTTGCGGCTGCAGAATGCTTGGTTAGACACGAGCGGTGAACCAAAGGGTCGACCGACTGGTGTTGCAGGATCGACGCGAAGATGGATGACCTTAGCCGTACAATATTCTTCTTCCATTCCTGGCCCCGGACTTTGAGTGCATTGTCGAGACAGAAAGCCATTCACGCGGTGGTGACGGAGCGCGGGGAGGCTACAGAAATGATGTCAACAATCGTTACATTCGGGACTTTTAGGCGTTGCCACTGAAACATGGAACTTGGGAAAAGATGATCTTGTGCTCCTTTGAAGCGCACCGCCCATGTCTGGATCAGGGTGCATGTAGGACATGCTTTCGAGCTTGTGAATTTGGCGGGCAAACCGGAGCACAGAGTAAGTTACTAGGTACGTACCTTGCTCGTAGCTGAGTGGAAGGAAGGCATGAACGAACTGAGGCCATGACCCACCAGCCTGGGCAGTTGTACCTGTACTGTGTGAAATGCACATGGTGGTGCCTGAACGTGTCGACGTGGGAACGCTCAGTCCCCGCGAAACACACACGACTTGGCGGGGCACGCAAGTATCTGGCGCAGGGGACACAGGGTCTGTACAGTACGGATTTGTGAGCATCGTGGGCCTTCTTTCAACCTCACCAGTACCATGGTTCGAGACCCCACCAACGGCCACAAGTTTCTTCGCCCCACACGAACAAGCGGAAGACTCACAGGTCCCTTTTATTATTACCATCGTGAAGTGGCCATGTCGCTGATTGCGCACCCAGACGGATTGCCACTGGTTGTATCGGGCACAGCGACCCCTGACCCCTCATTTACATTGTCGAGCATCCTTTTGGCAACGCAATCCCGCCAATGCCAAATTCGATTCTCTCAGGACTCGTAATTCCGACCGAATCTTCCCATCGCTCCATTTTGTTTGCATGCCGTGACGACGACGGCGACAAGTCCAGGGTCGCCGGCTTGCTGTACGCGGATGCGTGCCTGGGTTGCGTGCCTGCCCCCCTCCCATTCCTGTCATTGAGAGCCACAACCACCAAAGCCTTCTCGCACGCAGCCTCCGAATAGTTGCCCAGCATGGCAAGCCTAAACCTGGCCAAGCGCCGCTTCGCGCCGGTGCCGATAGAGACGACTTTTCAATCGAACCGCAAGGGCACCCAACCCGGCGGGCAACCAGGGGGCCCGAACCCGGAGTTGACGCCTGAGCCATCGCCCCGATCCGCCTCGCCGCCGATGCCACAACCGCGACAGCGACGTCGATTTAAACCCCAGCTGATTGAGACATCAAGGAGAACCAGGAGAGTCGGCGACCCGGGCCCGGCTACCAGGCCGACTGATAAAACCGACATTACCCCCTACACCAACCACATTTACGTGGCAAAGCCAAAGCCCAGGAGGAAGCATGGAGAGGCACTAGATGATGAGTCGATTCCATGGATTCCGCCGACCAGGAGGGAATCCGAGGATGAGGGTGTCAAAGAGTACCTGTTAGAAATTGCTGCCAGGGAGGCGGCAAGGCAGATGGAAGAAGCTGCACTGGCCGCGTTCCCCAACAGCAGAGCTCGCGAGGGCGGTGTTGCTCACTTCTACTTTAGAGAGAGTTCGGAGAGCGACAACTCCGCAGAAAACACACCTCAAAACAAGGACAATGGCATGCAGCCCAGGGTTCGGAGGAAGTCGTCAAATCTGGGGCTGAACTGGTGGCATAAGCACATGCAAAGCCATGCAGAGCAATTGGCATATGAGCGGGGTGACGACGAGATGGCGTTTGGTGGTGTGGATGAGGATACCATAATGCGGACAGATTCGGATCTGGACAAGATGGATCTGCCTGTGCCTCCCGATCCATTGTGGACGACGACCAATAGGATCCCTCCCGAGGACAGACGAGATTCCATGGCTGAACTACAAGACCTCAGGGATTCCTTGACACCTCTTTCACGGCCTGATGCTGCTTTTACGATTGGTAACAGGTTTCAACCCGGGGATGCGGCGTACGGCCGGCCGTCCCCAGACCAGAGAGACGTCGGATACAGCCCCTTTCTTCGCCCGGTAGACCGCGGCCCGGATGTCGCATTTGGCCGGCCATTTGGGGCGTTCGGCTTAAAACCAGAGGATCCCAAGCTGCATCTTATGCGCCAAGCCGCGTCGCCTCCGATGCTCGGCAAGGACCTGACTTTTCGGCGATGTCCGTCCCCGAAACAGACCAAGTTGGAGACGGACCACCCGTTCGCAAACCACGACGTTTACAAAGAGCAAAATCGAGATGTCACAGGCCAAGGCGGTCTCTGGAGAGGATTCTGCTGCCGGTCAGAGTCGAACACCGAGTATGTTGTCCCGGCGGAATTCCACGGGGCGAACATGCTCGTTACTCCCTACCCACCGGCTAGCCCCCGGGACGGCGCGGGATTCGACTCGCGGTCAATGAGCGACGAGCCAGAGTCCATGTTCTCGTCGTCCAACTCGTCTGAAAGCTTGAATAATATAAGCCCTACCCGTGCAGAGCATCGTTCTCGGACCGGCCAGTCCAAGGGCCTGCACATGTTGCACGGCCTGGACGATCGGTTACGCCGCGAAAAGGCGCAGGTAGAGCTGGACGAAAAGATTGCCTCCGAGTTCGACGACGAATTCGTCACCCAAGTATACAATTACCTGTCTTTGGGCTATCCAGCCACGGCACGCTACTTTGACGGAGAGCTGTCCAAAATTAGTAGAGTTGCCGTAGAGGAACTCTGCAGGGACGACGAGAGGCAAATGGCCAAGGGTCACATGCTCGAGATGAGCCTGCAGGCGACATGCGAGACCGACCGGTGCCCGAGATGGAAAGCCCTCAGGACATACATCACGGAATGGGCCCGACAGCATCCGGATCTTGATAACCTCGACCCTCTGGCTTGGGGTGTACGAGAACGACGCGGCAGCTGGGCCATATAAGCGTCTTTTACGTGGCTTCCCCCTTCGCACCACATCGGTGCACGCTATTTATTCTCTTGACACATACACATGCACATACACTAAGCGACATTTTTTCATACACTGCGAGAACATACATGCCATATATTCTTACCTGTGCCGATGAAAATCTTACGTCTTGTCACCAAGTGGCACAAGGCACTGCTTGGATTACACTTATTCTATAAAAGCTTAGACAAGATAGGAGTCTTATCCTGGGATCTTAATTCAGCCGTTAGGTTAACAAAAGACCCGTGTTGGATACTTTTTTTTTTTTTTCATAACAGAGCGAAAAATTGGATTGAACATGTCTACATTTGTACGGGTGTCCTCCCGACGAGGTGTCAATCTAGGCCTTTTTGGAAACGGTGTCATGTTGGACAGCTAGATGAGAGCCATTGGTCCTCCTGTACGAAGTAGTTTACATCTAGTTCCATAGTTGCGCCAGCCGGTATTCATCAGCGTTACACAGCCCTCGCTCGCAATCATGTGCTCCGGTGGTGCGCGTCACGTCTTGAGAAACAAGCAACTATATGTATCCGGTCATCATTGCAGCCCCGTATCTACAAACCAACGCCGTAAAAAGCCAAAATAGCTTCCCCCGTTGTTCCAAAGGCCACCTCGTCAAACTACCTAAAGAGCCAAAAACAAATGATAGCCAGGCTGTGATTTACATTCCCCCTTCTGTTCTTGGACTCTTTTGCTCCTACCCGCCTCCCCTGCCCTTTCTATCCTGTGAAAATATGTCGTCGAGTTTTTTGTTGTTGCTTTTTTTTGCATTTTTGTTTTTCGTACCTCGGGTTCTATTTCCTCTTTGAAAATGACTTGACTACTTTTTGCATTTTCGACGGCGGAGCGGCTTCGACGTCACTTTCTTCCTCTTCACCCATTGAATCGTCTACATCTTCGTGGTCAACTTCATCCTCGTCCAATGACTCTTCGGCGACTTCGCTGTCGTCGTCCTCTGCAACATCCGAGTCCTCCTCTTCGTCTTCTGAGTCTCCGACTCCGTTAGTCATGGGCAAGTCTTCATTATCTTGGTCGTCGTCGTCGCCGTCGCCACGTCTTCTTCTTGACCTGGCGCCGTTGGCGAGGTCTTTTCTGCCGACGGGGCTCGTTTCGCCCTCAACCCAGATGGCGTCTTCCTCTTCCTCATCGGCGTCCTCGCCCTGGTGTAGTAGACCTGCGTTTCGTTGCATCTTGCGTCGGAGATCCATTTGCAAGTCGAGCATGTCGAGCTTGCCTTTGAGGGCCAAGAGACTGTTGAGCCCCTTGGCGCGTTCCGCCAATACCTTTTGTAGGCCGTTCAAACTGTGGACGACGTCGGGCTGTGATGCGAGCGCGCCGCCGTGTGAGATGAGTGTCCACTGGACCCAGGTCATGAGGTTGCCCGCACGGCCGGGGCGGCGATAGAGCCGGGCGGCGAGCTTGTTGAGCAGGATGCCGGCCAGGGAGCTGTCTATCCTCTCGATCGTGTTTCGAACAGTGTTGATGTCGGTTGTATGCAGGCAGGATTCGAGGAGATCGGTGTCGTCTGTTTTGAGCGCTTGTGTCAAGACAGTCGTGAGCGACTGGTGGGAAGGCGGCACAATGGCTGTCCGAGCGGGCTGCGCTGTCGTGCTGGCTGACACGGATTGCTGGAGTAAAGCTGGGACGTCGATAGTCTCGTTGCCTCGTAACAGTTCTCCGAATGACGGCGATGTCTCTTCCTCCCCGCCAGAGCCTTCCAGCTCGTGGTCGTTTGCTTTGGGGTTCGTGCCGTTAACCTTGGCCACAGCGGCGGTTGCTGCTTTCGGGACAGTCTCTTCGTTGGTCTGTTCTTCCTCCGCGTTGTCTTCCAGATCAGAAATATCCTCTTCGCTGTCAGTATCGGAGGAGATTTCAATAGCCTCTATCTGCGAACTTTGCAAGGCATCGGCTGTGGCCACGAATGTTCGGGATTCGTCAATGGTAGTCTTTGTAGGGATTTTTGCGCTGGGCTTGACAACCGGCGCGGCCAGCTTGGCCGGCACTTTTCGCTTCATCGACATGGGCATTGAAAAATGTGTGTAGAAAGCCGTAATTTCTATTAGGTGCGTGGTGATGCGGTGTGTCTCGTGTTTAGATGGAGAGAGAGTCGACGGGGGGGAAAGAATACATCAAGATGAAATGCAAAACCATGCGGATGCACCAGGTACTAATAGCAGAATGTATTAAGAAAAATGGGAGAATGTAGGAGTGGGAGGTAATGCAATGATTAATTTGCCTGTGTGGGAGTGAGGCCGGCAAACGATCAATATCAAGCACCAGCAACAGGAGAAACACGCAGGCTTGGTTGCAAAATTTCACGGGCTGCAACTCTCGACGGGCGAACTTTTTTTTTTTTGGCTCGGCGTCTTGCTGGTGGTTGTGTCTCCACATCGACGGCACAGTCCTCCGCGATAAGAGATGACATAAGCGAAGCAAATCGATAAGATAGATGAGTCACGTGGTGATTAGATAGAGCTGCAGAGTTGATGCCTCGTGAGGTTTTTGGATGACTCATTCAATTCCTCACTTCCATCGTAGGGGCCCAAAGGGGAGGGCAGGCTGGGGCTAGTATTTCTTGGCCCCCCTGTTTGCAAACACCTCATCCTTGGTCGGTCTCTCACTGGGACACTCTGTCCTAGTCCAAGTGCCAATTCGGAGGAAGGCAGCACGATGATTGGCTGCATGTATGGAATTAGACCCAGTCGTCGAAAATGAGGTCATGCACAGGGCGTCATCTGGCGCGTGGTGTCATTGGCTGCCACCGGGGCAAATAGGATCCGGCCACAAAATTTTTTTGCTCGCGACAGGCCTACCCTACATGCCAGGCCCGTTTTCAAGGCAGACGGCCGTGCGAGATGATGCGCCACAGATGATTGGAGTTTGCCCCGTTTGAACGATTATTCCTGGGAAAGCAATGTCCCCTTTAAGTGCATTTATAGTTCCGATAGCATCCGTTTAAGTCGTCAGGTTGGAAGCGCAGAATGTGGACCCTATTATTTCGGTGAAGTCATGGGCAATCTGATTTGCAACAAAGACCTTATAGACTTGTAATATATTTTATATTCGGGAGCAAGGCCGACTATTATGGTTGAGCTGGATATCGTCAGCAAACCACGGCTCAAGTCATTAAGGTTAAAGTTCAACAGCTTCGATCCAACCAGCCGCGTAAAAAGCTGGACAGCCACCCGAGTTCCGCGGCCAATCAATTATAAGTAGTGGCCTCGATTCCACAGCTGGATTATTTCACTGCTTGATCCAACCCATAGTTGCTAATAAGCTGTGACAGGTGCGAATTTGCTCACGTTAGCTGTGGTCCAGTCATGTGTACAGCCATGCCGGTTGACATAAGGTTATACCTAGGAGACTCGGGGCCTCCTTATCTTGCTAGCAGCATTCTAAGACGCAAGGCGCGCAAGCGTGGTCGTCATAGTCGGGTTTCCGAGTACCGACATTTGCAAGCCAACGCACTTGACCACTCAATCATCAGCGAGACACCTTTCGCCGGCACTCGCTGGCTTCTTCTGAATGTGTGCGCCCCGGCGTCGGCCGAAGCCAGTCTCGAGCAAGCAGAAAGCCAAACAAGACACTTCCCAGTGTCAAACTCGGGGGGGGGAGGGAGGTCGACTACTATTTAAATGTCTGCGCAGACCCTCCCTGGACATTTCATGTCCTCTCCTCGGTCTACCAAACGCTGACGGTCCAATAAATGAGCTCTTCTGACATCCACAGCTCACATACTGAGTAGATAGACGCCCTTGAAACCCCGCACCCATTACTTTTGCCCTGTTCGTGTCAATGTCTAGTCATCGTGCCTTGGTCATGCACGACGTGTCCATGACCAAGTATTATTATTACACTCTCCCTCACCCACGCAGGAAGAGGACTAGCGCCTTTTCCCAATCGGGCCTCGGACAGCCCACAAAGTGGCCAGGCTGTGGCGCAAGTGGCTGGAGCTCACCCCCCGAGGTGAATTTTTTCTCCCCAGCCTTTTCCCGGCGCCCCGATAGGCACAAGTCAACGTCGCGGCGGACTTTGCCTTTCTCTCTCATAAATACCTTCGCGCCTCCGACCGGCAAAATCTAACTGACGTGCACGCGCTTTTCCTCGCAGACGCCCCCGTTTCGCCCCCTCCGGCCACCGCGACCCGCTGCACCTGCAAAGGATCCTCCCAGGTACTTCCCAAACAACCACTTTCCCCGCAACCGCTCCCCTTTTCACAGAGCCCAGCCGGTACCTCGTGCGTACCGCTCCTGTACCCTTTCCCACCTCTGCTCTCCCAGCTCCAGCCGTGGTGTGTAGCAGCTGCACGCACCAGACTCGAGCAACACACCAACCGCATACCACCCACCGCATACGGCGCAGCTCGCAGCTCGCAGCTCACGGCTCTCAGTCGCGACCAACCACCGCCACCTGCCTTCCGTTTCGCTTCCTCGTAAAATAGAAATATTCTGGGGTCGTATTCCATTTGCCCTTTTTGATCTGTTTTATTTCCCCTTTGGCTTGTCGCAGCTTTCGCCGCTAGGTTCTGCCTCTTGATCGCGCCCGTCGCCCGCGCATCGTCGCGACTCTCACAAACACCCTATTGTTGTTTGCGCCGCGCGTGCTGCCAACCGTCAACGGCTGTCAACGCTGTCAACTGTGCGAGCGCCACTCTGACCTGCGCCTCTGTATTTATTGCTGCCGTCACCTGTTTGTTTATTTCAGCCAACTTCGCTGTTGCATCGCAACTCTGGTGCCAGCTGCGATACTCTCTACACACTCCTCGCCCTCGGCCGGCCCTCATTGCCACCGAAGCTCCTCGCCACTTGGAGCTATCGCAAAAGCCCTTCGCAGCTATTTAAAGGCGCATCGCGACCCCAATACTTGGGTCTGTCGCGCCCCTTCTGGCGCAGAACTCGTGCTATTGCTCTACATCCCATTGCCGCCACCATACATTCTGGACTGAGCAGCCTATCTTGCGCAGTCATTGCGGATGACGACCATGGAATCGTCTGGCCCGGACACTCCTGTGCTGGACCCGAAACCTCACGATAATGCGCCAGAGAAGCAGCAAAATGAACAAAAGTCGGAGCTGAATGGGTAAGTCACCCCTTGGTCCACCTCGATCCTTCGATATTTTTGCATCCCGCTTGGTCCATTACCCTCAGTGGCTGACGAGTTTTCCAATAAAGTCATGCCGACGACAGTGCGCCACAATCAGAACCCCAGTCAAAGCCCAAAGCCGAGTCACCACGTGAACAGACGGATAAATCACTACCTAACGGCAACAGCCCTCCAACTCAGGAGGCAAAAACAACCGAGCTTGCCAAGACTTCGCAATTGACAGACGAGCCGACTCCAAGAAGTGATTCAGAGCCCAAGCCCATGTCTGAGGCTCCCGGAACGCTGGAGAGCCAGGAAGGCCTGGCTACCCAATCAAAGGAGCCAGAGAAATCACCGCCGGCGATTGACGAAGAGGAGAAGAAGTCGACCGAGCCATCTGATACCACAAAGCCCGAACAAAGTGATGTTGCTGCCCCGACAGTCGAGGAATCTGATGTCAAGCCTCCCACAGAGGAACCCGCCAAGAAGACGGCATCAGACACTGCGCAAGACACAGAGATGACCGACGTACCTAGTGAGAAGGACGACAAAACTGTCGAGCCATCAGCTTCTGGTGAGGCCACCGTTACTTCGCAGGATGCCACCGCTTTGCCGACTTCTCAAGTAGACCTTGGCCCAAGCAGCATGTCGCAGCTGGCTATTGATACTACTGAGAAAGCCGAACCCACCAGCGACTTGCCTATGCATGATGCCCCTGGTGTCAAAGTTGCTCGTGAGAGGGAGGAGGATGCCAGCGAAGAGCCCGCTCCCAAGAGAGCCAGGACTGAGCCAATGGAAGACGAGGCCGCTCCCGCGCCCACTACGACTGATGTCCCTTCAGATGCTCAGGCCGAGGTGGTTGTATCTGGTACTGAGTCCCCCGGCCTTGCCCCCACTGCCCTGAATAAGCTGTCGAACTGGCTGGACGAGGAAACCAACAAGCGAGAGATCTCTCAATTTCAGCGTCGTGAAATGCGAAAGGTTATTGGGCGTGTCAAGAAGACTAAGGCTGGTGGCCACTTCAGAGATTCTGTACAGAAACTGTGGCCGGGTCTGTGGGATAGCTATGTTGCGAAGGTCGATCGGCCCATGGACCTCGCGGAACTGGAAAGGGGACTGCGAGATTTGAACGGCCCGTACACCACCTATGGTAAATTTCAATCTGACTTACGATTGATTTTTGACAATACATTGCTTTTCAATGGTCCGCATCACGATATCACTGCGTCGGCTGTCACGGCTGTGAGGGCTGTTTGGGAAGAGGTGCTGCCCATACCTTCCGAAGAACCAGCAAAGCCAAAAGCGGTACCCAAGGCTAAACCCATTCGCGAATCTCGTGCCGTCGCCAATGCCGACGCGGCTCGTCGACAATCCACAGGACCTACAGCTAGCCCGGTCGCAGAGACACCCGCAAATAAACCTGCAGCGGCTGCTACGCAAGATCATTCTGCAGATCGTCGCAGCTCGACCGCGACAGAAGGTGATAGGCCAAAGCGGACGGTGCGTGCTCCAAAGCCCAAAGATATTGACTACACAACCAAGCCGTCCCGCAAGAAGCTGAAGCCTGAGCTTCAATTCGCTGAGGAAGTTCTTGCCGAGATAATGTCTGGAAAGAATCACCAGTTGAATGCTTGGTTCATGGATCCCGTAGATGCGGAAGGATTTAACATTCCTGATTACTATTCCGTCATCAAAAAGCCCATGGATCTCAACCGTGTGTCGCGTATGCTCTCTGAGGGTGAAATCTCGAATTTGAAAGAGTTTGATAAGACTGTCAGGCTTATTTTTGACAACTGCTACAAATTCAACGGCCCTGTTGAGCAAGGTAACCCAGTGTCTGCTATTGCCAAACAACTGGAAGAGCTCTACCTTGCGCAGATGAAGGGCAAGGATGCTTGGCTGGCAAAGTATGCCAAGGCCAATGCTCCTGCCTCTGCGTCTAACGCTAGTGACGACGACGAAGAGGACGAAGAAGAGGATGGCGAGGACGCTGTTGATGCTCCTGTTGATACCAGGGCTATCGAAGAACTTCAAGCCAAGCTTGACGAAGAAACGAAGAAGCTCAATAGCATGTTCCTTACGGCAAACCAAAGCATGATTGATATTCAAAAGAATATTGTCGAAATGATCCAGAAGACATTGATTGAGAAGGCTCGGGAAATCCAGTCGGCGCGTTCCAAAGCCAAGAATGACAAGCCGAAGAAAGCGGGCAAGCCCGCCAAGTCAAAGACGGCAGGCTCTGGTGGCAGAAAGTCCACTGGCGGAGCCGCTCAGTCCAAGAAGGCTGGAGGCTCGAAAAAGGCTGCCCCCAAGAAGAGTCTCACCGCGGCGGATAAGGACCAAATTGCAAATGCTATTAATGATTTAGATGGTCCTCATCTTGACCGGGCAATCGACATTATCAAGCGTGATACTGGCCAGAATGTAAGTTATGGACGTGTGCCATGTCGGGAATCGGTCGCATGGTTGGTGGGCGTGTGTGAGCGTGATTGCTAACGGCACCATTAGGAGAACAATGATGGCGAGCTTGAGCTTGACATCGATCAATTGAGCAGTGACGCTCTTTTGAAACTCTGGGAACTTTGCAAAAAAGCTCTTCCCAACTTTGCCAAAGACTCAGTGCCTGTCGCATCAGCAGAGATCAGTCGACCTCCTGCCAAACAGGCTGCCGCTGCTAACAAATCAGCGGGGGGAAAATCCAAGAAGAATAAACCCATGAGCGCACAAGAACAAGAGGCACGTATCGCGCAGCTGAAGGAACTCCGCGGATTGTATAAGGATGGTCAGGAGCCTGGTGACGAAACCAGGGGGCCGCCACTGACACATGGGGCGGAAACCAGTGACGATTCCGACTCGGAGGAAGAATAGGCTCTCCTATGAATTGTGGGCTGTTGATAACGAATAAATGAGGTTATTGGATGGTGTCGGCGTTGGAATCGATTCTGAACTGCACTCCTTCCTTTGCTATCGTGCAAAGTATCAGGACGTGAGATGTTGCCTCCAACATGAGGCAGCACGGAATGACCTTGGGCGGCATACGAAGTCGTTGCAGTCTTTCCTTTTGATTTTTGGTCATATGGTCTTCTTTTTGGGGGAACAGGGTTTGGGCTCATTGCATAGAATGGAGCCGACAGGGGTTTTCATGCGATTTGGCTTCCGTTGAGAGGGCCTTGCTGGAGGAGACGACAAATGGCTGCGAATGAGGGGCCAGAAATTATTTGCCTTATTTATTCCCCCCTATTTTTGCTCTGACGGAGGGCGTTGGGCGTTTCGACGACGATATCAGCTCGGGGGTTGCTGAGTGATTGGTATTTGCCTGAAATAAAACGAAGAGGCTAGCAGTTGGCGCCTCGAGGCTCCATTGCTATATTGTAGGATGGCGATAGTGTATAATAGTTGTGAGTGCTTGTGTCGAGTAAATAGATCCGGTACCGCATCATGTGCGATATTCCCTCCCAAGTGATTGCCATGACCTAGGAAATCGCACACATGGCGGTCAACAACGCCCGAGGTCGGCTGACATTGTCGTGTAGTGATGATGTGCAGTTTGCGTGGCATCAAGGCCAACATGCAAGTTTGCTGCAAAGCGTTGAGTTGTGCAAGATTGGGTCAGGTAAGGCAAAGACTCAAGCTTGGCCGCGACTTGTCCGATGCCGACAAATTCAGTGAAGAACCCCAGCCTTGGGAGGCAGCCCAGTGGCAGCAGCGTGAGCCGCCAGCTGCAGGTTTCAAGAAAAAGACCGGTATTCGCGCGGCAATGTTGTTGTTGATGGTGTATGAAGGCATCGTCACGGAAGAATGGATATCCAGTCGACACACGACGGAGTGAAGTAATGGTGCTGTAAAGGTTGAGCTTTGTTCAACCTGAGTGGTGGAGTAGAGAGCGATAATAAGTTTCAAAAAGGCAAGAAAAGAAAAGGAAAGAAAAGGAAAGCTGAGAAGAGGGAGTTAAAGATGGGTGATGAGAACATGGAGCGATGGAAGAAAGACTTGGAGGACGTAGAGGCTGGGAGGGCGTGGACGAGAACATTGAGAGGAGTGGGGATGGGATGGCCAGCAGCCAGCAGCGGTACCAGCATTGTTGGATGCAAGTGTCCAAGTCCAAGTGGACCAGACCTCTGGAGGATGACTGTCATGCTGGCTTACTTTTGGGTTCGTTGAGTCAACCTGTGTGTACGTACTCCAGTGCTTGACAAAGCCATGGAATCGACTCTACTTTACTTACTTAAGTACTTAAGTAGGTACTTACATAATGTACCGTACGTACGCCAGTCCTTGTGACTTACACGTCTGGTAGATTCAATGTTGGAAGGAGTGCCGTCCCCAATGATTGGTCGTCACATCAGTCGACTAAGGGTTGATAACATGCGACTAGTTGGACGCCTTGGGACGCCTTGGGACGCCTTGAGCAGACAATGCGGTGTGATTGCCCTGAATACGTACCAATTACTCCGTACACTTTCGGAAATCTGGGACATTTATGCTTATTTGTGCGCCGCCGCATGTGGCCAAACTCTATCTCCATGTTCCTAATCCTCACCATCCACAGTCGGCAACAGAACGTGTTTGCCCATCGAGGAGCATACACTAATGTCATGTAGTATATTGCGGTATCTAGAGAGCCATAGCCGTGTGCCTGATCTGGTCAAATACTCTTGGCCTCCCATGGTATGCTATGGCGAGACCACCCAACCCCCTTCGTCCCATGTGTGAAGAAGTAACTCGCTCGGCTACTCAATATTGATCAGGCACAGTTGGTACGGGAAGTCTTCTCCTCAGACGATTGCATATTTCAACATAGTGCCTTTCTCCCTCGGGCGTAATCTCCCCATGCCTCACCAAGAAGTCAATCATGATGGGACAGACGTTAGGCTTAAACTCGCCATTTAACATCCTGTGTCGCAGCTCTGCACAGTCCATGAGCACAAACTCTTCTACCTCGCCGTCTTGAGGAGTCGGTACGATATCCTCTTCTAGTTCCATGTCGTAGACGTAGAGAACCTCTGAGTGGTGCAGCTCCGTGCGTGGGTTGCGATTCGCCAGGGTGAGCACGCCCACGCTACGGACCAGCCTCGCAACGAGGTCCGCTGGCAGGGACGCTTCTTCCGTGGCCTCGGCGAGGATGCAGTCCAACGGCGAGTTGTCAGCCTTGACGCCGCCCGCCACTGTGCTATCCAGCATGCCGGGATATGTGAATAGCTTGGGGCTCCTTTTGGCAACCCATATCTTGAGACCGTCGGGGGCCCGGACGTAGCATGTCAAGTGGGCTCCGCGGGTAGCTATTCCGAACAAGGACGCGGCAAAGCGCTCTATTTGGACGAATTCCCTGGCGCCCATAAGGAGGAAGTGTTCGCTGTGCATGCCGTTGAGCATGGGGAACATGTTGCCGTCTATGGCGGCGTCTATGGCGGCCTGGAAGGCGGCATTGGCGTGGGCAGACAAGGAGAGCGAGGTCTTTGGTGAGGGAGGAGACAGAGTGACCTGGCGAGTGTCATGGTTGATTGTGAATGACGCCGGCCACGGCATGGAGTTTACCGTGTTGGGATGAATGTAGCCATGTGTCCTGGGATCGGGAGCTAGTTGCAGGCGGTAGTAAGGCGTGCAGTTGGTTTCGAAGTCAATGGGCACGCTGTAGTATGATTAGACGGTGCTTGGCGGCGGCCTTCGTTGTACGAATCCATGCAAATCTGTCGCGGATGACGCCAGCACTCACTTGTCAACGAGGGCGATGAGATGCAGCAGTGAGGGTTGTTGATGAGGAGACCCGTCCTGGGCAGCCGCAACGGCCATGGCGAGGAATTAATTGGCGAGAACAAGAGCTGCAGGGTTATCACTTGGATGCATGTAACGGCAAGTCTTGATGTTCAGGGGCGCTCGAAGCTGCTGCTATGTTTGACGAGGACAGTACCAAAAAGCACTCATCCAATTCCTACTCGACGGAGCAAGGTGAGTGAGGCGGAATGAGGTGAGAGACAAGGTGAGAGGAAGCGGCTATTGTGGAGTTGCCTGATGCCCCTCAACCAACCAAATTGAACCTCAAAGATGATCCTGCAGAACGATAGAAGCCCACAAGAAGCCACGGAGTATCTACAGGCCTGGTTTTATTCGAGTACATACTAGTAGTATTGTACAGAGTAGTTACGGAGTACGTGTTATTCAGTCGTGTGTACAACGTGGGAAACGACATGGGCGAAATGGCGAGCCTACCTACAGACGCCCGGGCCGCCAGGTCCGATACATCGATACATGCATGCAGCCCCCCTTTGCCGCCAGATGCAAGAATGCGGCTCAGGCCGTGTCTTACAACATGTAAGTTACCCCAACACACCAGGGGGCCATGACAGTGCAAAACGGCAGCTTGCCGGCAACCAAGGGGGGGCCATTTCCTTTCCCGTCATCCGTGGAAGGATGGAATTGGAGGGACGGGAGGGACGGCACCGAGGATCAAGCAACAGGATGCACGGCGCAACTTCTGGGCTCCTGGGCTCCTGGGCTCCTTGGCTGGCTTCTTGTCGTCGACCGGCCTGTTCCGCCCCGCACCTCCTCTTTCCCACTCTGGAGCTTGTTCACGGCCGCCACTTGCCGAGGCAAAATGGCCAAGCATCTGGGCGAGAAGCATCTTGGCGGATTGGACATGGACATGGAGTAGTGTTCCCGTCTCCGCCCCCTTCGTTCTCCCGTCTCGAATGATTCTGAAGGCTTGTAGGTATTGCACAACTTAGAAGTGCCCCTCTTCATGTCAGTTGCGCCGGAGCACATGCGTCGTCGGCAACGTATCCAAGTTGTCCTCTGTTCCCATCACGCCCCGTCCCAATTTTTGGACGGACATCCTAGACCCTGATATAATCGCCGGCATGAACCGACTTGATGACATCCTGAGGCGGTATACTGTCCAGGGAGAGGACACAAAAGACAGGCTTCTCGGTGCAGCATTTGTAGTGACGGACAAAGAAGGCAAGTTTCCAACCGCCCTCTCAACACCAACAAAACTCCCCTCACTATCATGCCCGTTCCACACACCGAAACACTAACAACCACTTGCAGGGACCATCTACACCGGCTCGTCCGGCCGCCTCGATCTTGACCCTAAATCGCCCCTCTTCACAGAAAGGTCCTTCACATGGGTAGCCTCCCTCACCAAGCTCGCCACCACCATCTCCATCCTTCAGCTCGTCGAACGGGGCCAGCTCGACCTCGACGCCGATCTACGCCATCTCATCCCGGAGCTCCGAGACGCCAGCATCCTCCATGAGTTTGACGAGAATGACAACCCCGTCATCGAGGCCAACGCCAAGCCCATCACCATGAGGCAGCTGCTCACCCACACATCCGGCTTCAGCTACGAGTTCTCCGACCCGGTTCTCCTCCAGTGGTCGCGCACCCAGCCCAACCGCAACGTCTCACGCCTCCAGTGGTCCAAGCTAGAAGTCACCACGCCGCTGCGATTTGCCCCCGGCCAGAGCTGGGGATACGGCGTCGGACTGGACTGGGCCGGCCAGGTCCTCGAGGCCCTCACCGGCAAATCCCTCGGCCAGTACATGCAGGAGAACATCCTCGACCCCGTAGGCCTCAACGACACCGGCTTCTGGCCCGAAAGAATCCCACACACGGCGCCCAGGACCGCGCAAAACGTTCAGCGCACAAAGGACGGGAAGCTCGTTGCCGCGCACTGGCCCACCCCCGAGAAGCACGAGATTGAGTCCGGCGGCGGCGGGTGGTTCACAACGGCCAACGACTACGCATTGTTTCTACGGGCGTTTCTGACGGGGAGGCTGGTCTCGGAGGAGACGATGAGGGAGATGGTCAAGCCGCAGCTAAACGAGGCACAGGCCGAGTTTCTGAGGACGATTGCTTTCCACCCCATGGTTCACAATACATTTGCGCCCGAGTTCAAGCCCGGCACGAATATTGACCATGGGCTAGGAGGTATGCTGAATGTTGAGGATGTACCAGGGAAGAGGAAGGCGGGGAGTATCGCGTGGAGTGGGATTCTCAATAGTCGATGGGTGAGTTATCCCCCCCCTTTTTTCCCCTTTCTAGACCCGTTTATCAAAATCATTGCGTGTATGGGTGTATATCTCGGAAAGCTAACCGTTCCTTTTTCGTTCTTTGCAGTGGGTTGACCCGAAGACGGGCATTGCAGGCGTTCTTATTGTCAATGTTCGGCCCAACGGCGACCCTATCGTGGCCAAGTTATATGATGAGCTGGAGCTTGCTGTATATGGCCAGCTTTTGGGACAGGCTGCTGTCCAGAGTCGTATCTAAGGTCTATGATATGGAGACTTGGCCAGAGTACATATACAACCATTGTATATATCTAGAGTATACGACATTATGTTCATTTCATTCTCCATCCTATCCTCCAGAAGCGGGTCCAATTGTCCCGTTTCAAACCCCCTCCCTTTTTTCTTCGACCTTGTTTAATTTGATCCAAATTGTCTAGTCTTACACCATGTCCCGCGATCCCAGAAAGGCTTCATTTAAAGTTCATCGTCAAATATATCATCTCCACTCATGGACTCCAACACGCCCTCCAGCACCTTTCTACACCTCTCTCTGTAATCAAGGGCCAGCCTCTGATTGCGGTTCAAGTCGGCCTCTTGGCCGCCCACGGCCTCCACATCCGTCTCGTTTAGCCTCTCCAGCTCCTGTAGCACTTTGTGCTGGATAATAGCAACCGTCTGTTGCAGATACATCCTCGCCTCGCCCTCCACCTTGCCGGAAAAGAAGCGGTCTCTCTGCCACGTGTCCTTGGGTTTCCCCTCGGGCACGGGGATCAGCACCGCCCGCTGCTCGGGCGTGGTGAGCGTGCAAAAGATGTCCCACACCATCTCGGGCTGGACGTGCCTGAACGACCCGAGCACCGCGGTGGCCGGGTCCAAGGTGAGCGACTGCTTGGCGCGGGCCAGCACGGAGCTCGGGTGCGACAGCGGCCGCAGCGAGATGAGATACTCCTCCGACGCCCGGGGCGCGGCGGCCGTCCGCTTGCGGACGTGCGTGTAGTCGTTGTGCAGCTCCTTGGTGGCGGGGAGCATGAAGCCGTAGCCCAGCAGCAGCTCGGCGTTGGTCTTCATGCTGTAGTTGTTGAAGACCTGCTGCCCCGGCATGTGCGTCCTGCCCACCCGCAGCTCGCACGTCTGGCGGTCGTCGTCCAGGTCCCAGCGGATCTCGGTCGTCATGTCGTGGTTCCCAATGTCAAACAGCGGCAGCAGCACGGAGAAGTCGTCCATGGTCACGCCCCGCGGCAGCGAGCGCCGCTGCTCGTCCGACAGCACCAGGCTCGGCCTGAAGCTGCGGCTCGAGAAGATGCAGTACGCCCACTGGTACAGCTCCGTCGTCAGGGCCTTGCCGAAGGCGCCGTCGGCGTCCCCGTGCAGGCGCAGCAGCTCCTGCGCCTCCTGCAGATCCCTCCTGACGTCGTTCCTGATCTTGTCGATGCCGACTTCGACGTTTGTCCCCTCGAGCAGCTCGGCCTCGTCGTCGTCCCAGAAGGGCGCCAGCGCCCACTGCGACTTGTTTCCCTGTCCGGGCTGCGGAAGGGCCCGGATGTAGGGCCACCAGAAGGACTTGTCGCGCTTGAGGTACTCCTTGATCAGAAATAGGCGCCCGACGACATGGGGCGCCGCCCTGGCGAGAAACTCCCCGCGGAAGGCATCCGGGCTGGCGGTGCCCTGCTCCGACACGGCGTTGAAGTAGGAGAGGGTGAGGGAGGTGGGCAGTTGCACGATGGGTTCGTATGGTTGCACGGGCGACTTGGCGGATGGCTTGACGCGGAACGAGAGGCCGGTCTGGGGGTCTTGATAGACCTCGATTGATGGATGCAGCGTGGCCCCGTGTGAGCTGGCCCATTCGACCAGGGTCGATATGGTGTCCTGGACGGGCATCGTGCAAGGCGATGCGCGCGAAGTCGCGTGACGATGCGGGTGCCGAAATTTTGGAGATATTGGCGCTGCTGCGCACGGCGATGGCGCGATGCGTTCAACAAGTGTAACCAACCCCCCGTCCAGCACTGCGAAGATGCTCCGTTTTATAAAAACCTGTCGAGGTGAGATACGGGCTTCCGCGGGTCGAACTGGTTGGACTGTTTGGACTGGCTGGATCGGCCTGTTGGTCATCCATCCATTCAAGTACATACATACGTGTACGGAGTACATCGAGGGCATGGGCATCCACAGTGGGACTTTGTCGTTTATAGAATCTGCACCAGCGTTCAGTGCTGTTGTATGTATGTGGGGCCCAAATCAGATGCCTCGACTGACGCAATCATGTAGTCATGAATTAGCCAGCTATTGAAGAGAAGCTTGCTTTCCCAATGATGGTGTATGGAATATTTCAATGGCCAGGAGTAGCCGAGTTGAAAATGCGTCGCTAATTGTACGAGACGGCCCAGTGCAATCTTGGGTCCAGCAACAGACAGAGGGCAGAGTATATTGAATCATGGCACCAAAGAACGAGCTTAGGAATTCCACCTCGTCACCCCAGCACAAAATATACATACACGTACATATACATATTTACGTTTTGCGTTTGTTTAGGTGCTCATGGCAGGGCAAAACATATCAGAAATGGCCCGCATGTCCATGCTATTAATCCAAGGTTCCTATCCACCAGGAAATAATGTTCAACGCTACTTCATCACGCAATGCACATTCCTCTCAATCTAGTCCTGATGAAACTCTGCCTCTACCCGCCCATACCTCACCCCGTCAACTTTCAGTTCAAACCCCAAGCCCGCACTGTCCACAATCATTTCCAGAGTGAAGTCAAGATTGTCAAACTCAACCCCCCTTGTTGTGGTCAGACGAGTAAACAGACTTCTTGGAACCGCATTCAAGTCCGTCGTCAGAGTACACACGTTAATCAGGTCCCGCGTATACGCTGCTGGTGGCTCATCGGCATCGCAGGCTATCAAGTCGTCCGTAACAATTAAGGACTGTCCCGGGCGGAAATTCCGCGTGTAGTGAAATGCTATTGGGGACAGGGGCGACAGAGCTTCACCCTGCTTTATGATTAGTGTTTTTCTTCTCCTACTATTACATGTCTAGTGTCAGGAGAGGAAGCTCACCTTGGCAATGTGCCATTGCATCCGGTCTGAAACCATCCAACGTTCCCACAGAGGTGACCAGTATCGTTCGCTGACAGAGTGCTTCTCCTCATCGTATACCGTCGCGTAAGAGGTGCCGTAGTGCATTCTTGACTTTCGCGAAATTACCATGTTTCCCTCCAGGCCTCTTAAAACCGCGCCGCGAACAACGGCAGTCCAAGCATACACAGGCTGCATGACCTCTATCGAGCCATTTCCTTCCGTCGCATTAGCATTCGCATGAGTCGGCCGTTCGCTGTATGGGGGAGGTGCTGCGCTTGTGAAATGCGCTTTTAGTCGTCGATATAAGTAGTCACTCTGGCCGAAGCCACCAACAAGGACAATGCCGGAGACAATACCGCCCTTTGCTCGGAGTCCTTCTACTTGGCCTTGTACCAGGTCACATACTTCCTTTACCACTGGCTCAAAGATATCCTTGATTTGCTCAGCACTCATAACCATAAAGCCATCGTCGAGACCGGCTTCTTCATCGTCTGTTAAACCAGGAAAGCTACGTTTTGTCAGCACGATAGACCAACATACATCCCCAACGCTCGCCGAACAGGCTCTTGATAACTTACGGAACGTTAATTTCTTGGTACTCGTCTTCGTTGAAGTTGCGCTTCACAAACTCTTCAAAGTACTTCAATCCCATCTGCCAACTCCTTCCCTTTTTGGCCTTCATCTCATCGAAGCGCGCTTGTCCAAGTCGGTTTCTGACGTGCTCTTCGAATCTATAGTTGAGAAATGCGCTACCGCACAATCCGCCTGTACCTACAGCAGACTCTTCCACTCGTAGGGGCTTCAGCGACATGATTTTGTATGCAATCAAGCTGAGGATGTTAGCGGCTCGAAGCAAAATTCACAACTTGGAAGGCACTCACTCAACGGTGCCACCTCCTGCATCACAAACGATAAAGTTGTCCCCAACATTCAGATGGTTCGGCTGTATGGCTTTCAGCGTATACACAGCAGCCGCTTCCGGTTCGCTAATCATCTGAATGTCAGAGCGGCTACCCATTCCAGCACGCTCAGCAGCCAACAGCGTCGTATTCTTGGCGGCATCACTCCAGACTGCTGGGCAGGTAAGAACAAACTCAACCTTTGTTGACACCATGAATGACTCGCCATATCGCCGAGTAAGTGTGTCCATGGTGTGCTTGTAGATTTGGGTCAAGTAGTCGCTCACAGCATCAACAACATTCTTGTTGAAGCGTTTTAATTGTGCTGCGGTGTCTAGGGGGCTGACATAAAAAGGAAGCTTTTGGGACCGGTCAAGGAACAGCTTGATACAGCGTAGACGAGATTCCTCTGGGCGAAATTGGAATCCCCATTTTATTGTTGGGTCTGCTCCGGGAGGAGCATTGGCAGGAAAGTCGTAGGCAACCTCTGTGGGCACCTTGTCGGATGTGATGCCGTTGCCACCAGGCCATGTTTTGATGATTTCGATGTCGTCAGGGGTAGAAGTGTACACAGCTGCAACTCTGTTTTTTGTCAGTCCCGGAATTATGAATTTTTTGACGGTAGCTGATGGCGCGCAGCCTCTAATAGCAAAAACAAAGCCACAGGGTTCACGTCACACCACATAGCACCAGTTTCCGCCATCATATCATCAACCAAAACAACGACCTCGCCTGAACTGTCAAATTTCTCTTTTCCTTTTCCCAAGGTGATGAACACTCACAAGCAGTACTTACCCAGAAAATGTCGTACCAAAATCCACCCCCACAATCAAGCGATCGCTAACAGGCACCGGTTCGCGCTGCTCTCTCACCGGCCCATTGATCGCCTCAGTAGAGCTTGGTGGTGTATAACTTGTGAAGTAATTCCTACTATCCTGGTTCCTGCGGCTGGTAGTTGTGTTTCGCAGGGGTAGGTTGAGGTTCATGGCGGAGGCGTTTGAGGGGTTGGTCGAGGTATTTGAATGCATGGGGGAAATGAGGAGCACGGCAGTCTCCGCTGCTCCAAGCAGATTGTCTCTTTCTTTCTGGCCTGTCTTCAGATTTTGATTGTTGTCCGTTTGCGTGCTGCAGGTAGATGATAATGGCAACCGGTCCCTAACTGTATCCTCATACCACCTGTTCAAGTATCATCGTGATGCGGTGGCGCAAACGGCAACTAGTACTTCGTCTCGCGCAGAGCCGCAACGGAGAGGAACGGCGTGCTTTCAACCCTGTCGTCC